ATTATATTACATTATTTATTTATTTTTTTTATATCTTTTTAAAAAAAAATTAATTTTTTTTTTTTTAAAATAACATATTTTTAAACGTGACTTTAGACTCAATTAAAGTGACAATTGTGCTGTCGGGCCTGATGGAATGCAATTTATTTGAATTTCTTATTAAGGTAACTAAGCAGTGGGTTTAGCACTTTTAAATGTTGATGTTGTTATATTGGTTATGTCAAACATTTTTAAGACAGATGTTGGTATCTTAGTAAAAACTTTTTAATTTCGAATAAATTAAATCCCGTTCATGTGCCGTCGCTACATCCATGATTGGTAAGGATAGAATATTTATCATCGCACACGTCAATATTATATTAAGGTATTCATAACCTCACACACCATCATTATATTGATTTAAATAATCTTATTACTCGTGTCTGTAATCATAATAAATATTTTAAATACATAAATATGATTATTAAAGTATTATTTAAAATAATTTATGATTAGTTTTAGGGATTGTTTGGGAAGTATTAAATTAGTATATTTTTTGATTTTTTACAAAAAAAAATGTAAAATATGAATTGAGTTTGAAGTGATATAATAGAAATGTGATATGAGTCAAATAAAATAATTATGACCAAAATAAAATAATATGCTAAAATAATGTGTTATTTTAACACATGCCAAACAAAACCTTAGTAATTCCAAAATCACACCAACTCATGAGATTCACTCCTAACATATTTGTGTCTTATGAGATTATTAAAACACTATGCTAATTCGTTTGTGGAACTCTTGAAATCTTGAGAATCTAGTATTGCGGTCATATTTTGTTAGAATTACCGGTTGTGAAAAAGAATTTTATTGTAATTGAACTACATGTATCGATTTTGAACTAATCATATCGATTGTGACTTCACTCATGAATCAAATATGGGTTGATACATTTTGATAACTGATCAATTAATAAATATGTAATTTTCAGTTCAATTATACACCAAAATATATCAATATCTCAACAATATATATATATATATATATGTTCTATTTATTTAAAATCATAACGGGGACTTTTTTTTAACAGAAAAAAATGCTTCGTGAGAGTATCATAACATCTGTAGGTCTTGATTCCAAGATAATCAATTATCAGTTAGATTTAACATAACCTATAAAAGAAGGAATCTATCACTAGAATAAGAGAAGAATGTATCAACCTCCAATACAAAATACAGAGTCACAATTGAAATACAATATAATTAACTTTACCATTTAAAAAATAAGTCACTAGTCACACTCCCAAAAATCAAGCCGAACTCAATTATGTGGATGGAGGACATCTTTCCATCCCCCACCACTTTGGTGGCCGCAATGGGGACTTCAGGAATAACTTATGAGCTCCAGTTGTAGGGGCTAAGCCTATAATGCCCACCTGCTATTATTTTGTACTATGTACATATGCCTAAAAAAGTGACAATTATGTATACTTTTGGACAGTATTGAGGTTATAAAAGTTATCTAATAGCAATTTATTTTATATGTCATTTTTTTTCTCATTTTAAAAATTGGGATTTACACTTGGATTTTATCCAGATGTATAGTTCATAAAAACTCATTTTGATTTGGAGAACTTTAACCATTTAATTCATCAAATGATTTTGAAAAACATTTTTGCAACTTTCTCACCATCACCTTCTATATGTCAAGTGGTTAAAATTGTTAAATGATTTATTTATTTATTTATTTTTATTTTGAGAGGAAGAAATGATCTCTAAAACGAGACTCATAAATATTATATAATTAGATTGTTGAATTTGCTCACACATGATTTAGTAATCTTTTTTTGTACTAATATAATTGGGATGAGTTCGATTATTATAATGTAGTTTTAGGATTTCTTTTCTTTACCATGTAATGCTTTTTCTCATCATTTATAATATTTCTTTTTTGCAGTAAAAAAAATGGTTGCATGCTTAAATGATCATAATAGAAGTATGCAGTAAAACTTTATTATTAGTAACGCTACACTTATCAAAAAAAATTATTATATTTATTTATTATATAATATGACATTTTTGATTTATTGAATCATGTAAAAATTATAAGATACGAAAATTTTGCAATATAATTTAGCGATTGTGAGTGCCTTGGATTAGGAGGATTTATTTGAGACTAGCCCCGTTTGGGGGCTTACCTTTTTAGTCAAAAAGCGAAAAAGTTACCTTTTTAGTTAAAAATCCAACAACTCATACCAAAAAGTTAAAGATTCTCTTTTCTCTCTACTTTTTACACATCTTTTCGTAATTAGCCAAAAAGTCATCCCAAACATATAAGTTTTTTTTCCCTACTTTTTTAGCCAAATAGCCAAAAAGTTACTAAATTAGTCTGTTCCCAAACGAAGCCTAAGGCTCTGTTTGGGGTACACATTTGGGTTAAAATAGCCACATTTACTAGGTCATTTGGAGGGATTTTGGGGAGAAATTGTATAGATGAATTGTTTTTCAATATAGTAATAAAACAATGTGATTCTTCTATCCTAGTATAATTGCCTTATCTTATGTCATATCAAAGAAGAAAAATAATTTACAAACAAAAATTTATAGAAAAAATTGCACTAGATTAATTCAACATTGTAGTTTGAAATAAATGAATATAAATCTATCAAATAATTAATTTGTTTGATTTTGAAATTTTAAATATAGTTTTTAAGTTTGTATTTTTCTTGTTTTGTTATATTTAGTGAAATGTTCTCATATTTTAGATTTTTTTTTAATTTGTTAGTTGCACCTAATATAAATATACTCAGAAATAAAATATTTTTATAGAAATTTATAAAAAAATAAAAATAAATAAAATCTCACAAATATTTTACTTTTTAAGTACATTTAAGTTCACTACAACAAATTACACTTTTGGCTACTAAATTTATAGTAGCCAAAAGTCATTTTTTAATCGCCAAATATTTTTGTCGACTAAATTTTTTGGTTGCTAGCTTTGTCACTGGATGATTGTCAGGAAATGTATTGGCAAAAAATTTTTTTTAGTCACCAAAAGTCGCCAATTGGCGATTAAACATTTAGTCGTCCAAAGTTTTCAATAAATGTAATTTTTTGGTTTAGCGAAGAAATATCTAGTCGCCAAAAACCATTGGTTTATTTTTTACTACCAATCATTTAGTCATTAAAAACGAGGCACTCTTTTTTGGCTACCAGATTTTTAATAATTCAAATAATGGTGCTCCTTTTTAGCTATTAATTTTTTAATCGCCAAAAACTTTCATTTTTTTTTCCTACTAATTGTTTAGTCGCCAATAAGTTTCTTTTTTATTTTTTGGCTACTAAATATTTAGTCGCCAAAAGCTCTATTTATTCATTTTTTTAAAACGCACAAATTGAATATTTTTCATTAATTTCTAAATTATATGCATTCCATTATCAATGCAACCTGTATATAATACGAAATAACACCTCTATCAATTTTAAACTAAATCCATTATCAATAATACCCATATCATTATCAGTTATTCAATAACTTTAACTTGTAATATCATATAAATCCATGCCAACCAAGTATAATCCATCTAAATTAAATATTACATACAAAAATACTAAATTTTCAAAACAGAGAATTGTACAAAAATAGATATCTTCCATATATAAAACAAATGCTCTTCATATGCAAAAATAAATATCCACAATAGCTTACGCAAAAGCAATCTATAAAAATAAATAAATAAAATATAAAAAAAAAACCATTAATACTTATATATATATATATATATACATTGTCATAGAAAACTAGAATATGAACACATACCTAAAATAAATTGCCCATGAAATCAGAACAAAAGCAACCCCTCCTTAAAGCAATCTCTCCCATAACTAAAAACTTCAAAAAAGAAATAAATTGGCTCAACAAATTTAAAGCCTCAAAAGATAAAATACATGAATATATATTATAGACATATCAAAACAAAATAGTTCTCTCCAACTCAAAAACCCAGAGAGATATGATAAACTAAGATAAAAGAGTTACGCTAGAGAAGAGATGATGGCTTACTTTCAGATGAACCTTTCCAAGATTCTTCGGCCGAGGAATTCACTCCTCCAAATGAAGCCGCTGCCTCAACATCAAGCCCACCTCCAAGGGAAGTGAACAAAGCCGAGAAGCCAGCAGTGGAGGCTCCACCAGCTCCAATCCCCAGGCCAAGAAGATCAAGCGTGGTCGGCTTGTTCCCATAGAAGGACGGTGGGCCCATGATCAAATTAGTCAAACCGGAGGCGGCTCCATCGGTGTGGAGCCCTAGCCCTAGGCCAGCAGCTACCGATGACTTGCTCTCTGGCTTCACCACCACATGGCTGTTGTTCCATTGCCTAGCTGTTGCCGTGTCTTGATTGTCTACTGAAGATTGTAATTCCAAACCAAGCCCTCGAAGGAATGAGGAACTCGACCCTGTTGCCCCCATTTGTGCTGCTTTTTGAAGCAATGCAGTGGCTGATAAAGCAGCGGGTTGTTGAGTCGGAGTGTATTGGCGATGGTGGGATTGACTAGTGGTTGGAAATAGGGAGGAGGGATTGTTGTTGGAGAGATAGAGGGAAGAGGAGAGAGAGAGGGACATGGGTTGTTCTGTTTGGTGGTGCTCTGGACCAGCCATAGCACAGAGCATATCGGAGAATGAAGATGGTGATTGCGAAGGTTGTGAAACTCCTGACGGTGCTGATGATGCAAATATACTTGCAAACACACTGCTGCTACTGCAATTTGCACCATTACCGCTTGAGCTGGAGGAACCGCTGGCTGTTGCGATGGTTAAGTTGGCCGCCACCGGTTGCTGCGGTGGTATTCCGGAGGGGTTTTCCGGCGCTTCTGAGCTTTGAATGGACAGAACAGAGAGGTAAGAGAGAGGTAAGAGAAGTTACAGTCTGGGTATGTGTAGAGGTCCGGCGGGCAGCCAAGGCGAGGCTGCCGCCCGCCGGGGAAGCAGAATGAATAGGTTCTTAACCTTGCTTCTCTTTCTTGTTATGGATTGTTCTATCCGCAGCTAACTAATGTGCATTCACTTGAGAAGCAATATAACCGCATAGAATAAAAACACAAAAAAACATATTATTTGTGATAGATTCATCGCATACTTTAAATAAATCTAAACCAGACAGTTCTCTTTCGGTGTACTTTTCTATGTTTTAATTCTATGTCGGGCAGCTATCAAGCAATCAGTTCTTCTTCTCTCCAGGAGCTGGCTCCCACTTATCTTCCATGGAAGAGAAAATGACATCTATACTATTATTACTGCTACTACCTGAATTAAACATGGCATCAGCCAAATCCGCCACCGGAAACTGATTCTCACCGTACCTAGTTGTCGACGACGATGGACCCGCACCGCCACTGCTTGTCCCAGCACCACCACCACCACCACCACCACCACCACTTCTCAAACCGAAGTCCCTGAACAAATGCACACGTGGGTCGGCGGAGAAGCTGCTAGTGCCTTCGCCGGAGCTTTGGTTGATGTCCATCGAGAGCCATGTGGCGAGAGGGGCCGAGGTGGGCGGTGGGGGCGGAGAGTGGGTGGTGGTGGTGGGTTGTTGTTGGGTGATTTGAGGGAGGAGTTCTGGGGAAATGGGAGGGATAGAGGGTGCGGTGGAGGACATGTGGCAAGTATGATTAGCACAGTAGATGACTTCGAAGGTGTAGGCGTCGTTGTCGAGTCGCTGGACTTGTTTTCTGGCCGGGCAGTTGTAGAGCTTTTGGTGGGTGCATCTGTAGTAACTCCTGATCGCCCGCCACCGCCGCACAACAGAAGAAGAAGATGATTGTAGGATCAGTTTCATTTCATCTCATAAGAGTTCATGTCAATTCTACAGGTAATGCTTTACAAACTATAGAAATTTTTAATAGAATAACGTGTTTGTTTATGGTTCGTTGATTTCAATTTAAAACACACATTATTTTAGTTTGTAATTATAAATATGTTACTTTTTTTCTTTTCTTTTTTTTATCAGCAATTATAAATATGTTACTATCACATTGTTCTCGATGATGTTTATGTATAAAAATTTTATTCATAAATTATTTTCTGAATATTCTAATATTAATGATTGTTTACCCATGACATTTGTTAACTAAGTTATAAAATTTTTGTAATGCTGATTTTAGACATACAATATCTCAATAATGACAGAGTCAAAGGACTTGCCAATTAGATATCTTAAAATTTAATCTTTAGTAAAAACTGAGAGAACTAAAATCTTGAGTAAAATTTAATTTGAAGTTTGGCAAAGTTATTTTGTCACAATTATTAAAATTAAATCATGATCACAAGATATTTTTTGATAAGTAGATCCAATGACGAAAATTTAATACGAGAGTTAATTGTGTCAAAATAGTAAGTAAACTATACATTAATAGCAAAAAAAATAATATTTTTACATTGTAACAAGCCAAAACATATTTTTGTTGCAAAATTATTTTACCATTGGAATTGCTCTTATTAGAGAAGGACAGGGAAGCAATTTGTCTCCTGTCCATCCAAAAGAAGTACTCAATGTGGGCTTGTTATAGAGTCTATTTTAATAATCAATTCAGAAATTTTTAGGTTTTCAACATAAAATATGAGCCCAGCACGAGTTTTATTTTGATAATTTAAATTGTTCATTTTTATTTATTTATTTGTGTATAAATTATCTTTGAAATATCAATCCTATAAGCATAGTCATATAATTTAATTGTAATTTTTTATTTTAAAAAAAAAGGGTAATCCATTTTTTATTTAAAAAAAATGGAATACAATGAATTTATGACTATGTTTATCGAATCATTATATTTTTTTTAAGAATGGTTTACACACGAGTATTTAAAAGATGAACGGTTCATATCAGAGTGCATGCTCATAAGTCCAAAATTGGATGGTACAATTCTCTGTAATACTAGGGACAAATAACTTCTAATTATAATCATCAAGTCAATCTGATTTTATTTTTTTTATATAGATATGCTACGCACAAAAATTAAGAAAATTGAATGAAATAATTCATTAACAAAGGCACTGTAGAGAGTCCATATCAAAATATCGGAAATAATCTTGATTGATTAGGCAAAAACTTGTAACCAAGTTTCTTCAGCCATAACATCTAATAAAATTGTGTCTTAGTTCATTAAGCAAAAACTTTTAACCAAGTTTCTTTAGACATACCATCTAATAAAATTGTGTCTTAATTCAATAAACAAAAACTTTTAACCAAGTTTCTTTAGACATACCATCTAATAAAATTGTGTCTTAATTCAATAAGCAAAAACTTTTAACCAAGTTTCTTTAGACATACCATCTAATAAAATTGTGTCCCATTCACCAAACCAACCCTTAATTAGTTCTAAAAGTTAGTTCTAAAAGTCTTCTTTCTTTTTTTTTTATTTCCAAAAAGAAAAATTTATTAAAAAGCAGCGAGAAAGTACTTGCTTCATCATAGTATGCCAAGATCCAGAAGTCTTCATTGTTACATATAAAAATATCATGTATATTTTATTATTGTTAATTTTTCTATGCAAGATATATACAAGCGAATGGACTGGGCACCCCATGGACCTCACCACAGGTCCTGATTTAACGATCTTAATAGTTTATTTTTATGAGTCCTTCATGTATTTCATCTATAAAAAAATTAAGTCAATCTTATATTCGTATCTTGTTAAATTTATCGCGTTTGTCACTAAAAATTTAAATTAATAATTTATTTTTAAAAATACATTTGTTATCTATATATGATAAACTCAAAAGGCCAACGACTATTAGATTGACCTGATGTTTTTATAAATGAAATACACGAAAGACCTAACAAATAAACCGTTTTAATGACGGTAATGTGAGCTGTGACCCAAACAATATCCTCGAGTCTAGGCTTGCCAAAAGAGAATTACCAACCAATTACACTATACACTCATATAATATTATATTAGTGAGGCACTAATTCTGATTTAAGAAGACGAGAATGACACTTGGGGCTGATCATGGCTGGTATTTGAATTGACATGGTCAATTCAAAGCTTTCATGGCTGATAAAAATAGTATTAGGGGTCACTTTTGATGATTGAAGGCTTCAATTCAACGTCGACCCATGATGGGTAAACACATGAAAAATGAAGACGAAGAACATTAAAGTAGAAGAGGCCATTTGAGACAATTAAACGTAATTTATAGGTTACCTGGGATATTTTGACCCGAGAATCTCCTTTTGACCGTACTTTCGCCAGGTGTAACCATCCTCTGGTGGTATCTCTGTGTTCCCCATCCTAGGCGCTGGCATCAACACCCTTCTTTTGTTCCCGTCATCCTTCCTTCATTTTTTGAATTCCAATTCCCAAAACAAAACAAAACAAAACTAGCCGTTAGCATTTACCACAATATATATGTTCATGGTATTGGAAAATATATAAATAAATAAAGTTATGGATACATCTCCTCGTACCAATTGATATACTTACCAACATATGTTATGATATTATTATTTCAAAATTATGACTTCACCTATTATACAAATTAGTGATAATCAAAATTTTTAAAATTACACCATATCATCTGTTAGTATACTAATTGATATATAACATTATTCCTATTCATTCTCCAATAACTTATGACAATCACATTTATAGACCATAAGGTTTTGTTAATAAGTGTACGTCTTTTAAGCTATAAGCAAATGGCAAATTTGAAAAAAAATAAAAATAAATAAATAAATAATTATAAGAAAATGGCAGAAAAAATGAATTAGGAGATATTTATTAATAAATTCCAAACACTTTTTTTTTTTTTATGGGCAAATTATAAGTAGTTCCTATATTTTAGCTATTGTATTATTTTAGTCCCTATATTTTTAATTGGCTAACTTTTGACACTCACATTTAGATTTTGGATTAATTTGATTTAATTGATTATGTCATTAGGGTTTTTGACAGAAAAATATCACTAAGTTAGTTGAGATTAACTCACTGAATTTTATCAAGTTTACAATTTTGTCCCTGCAAGCATGACACATGTCACTCATTTGGGCATTTTTCATTAAAAAAAACATACTAACAATTGTAATCAATTAAACCAAATTAAGATAAAACCATAAAATCATAGTTAAAATTAAACAAATTGAAATTATAGGGATTAAACTAACACAAAAAAACAAAGTATAGAGGCTACCATTATAATTTGTCCCTTTTTATTGCATTCCCAATATTAACATAACATTTGTCTTTATTTATCATCACATATGTCATCATTAATAGAGTTGCATTTTAGCCATAAGTTCTCTCTTCTTCTTTTTTTTAAGACTCAATGCGCGAGATTTTTATAGGTGGTGTAGAATTGGAGCTAAAATTCAATATTATGATGCTATATCATCAATTAATAATTAAAGTACATATGGGTGGTGAACTCTATTTTTAAGATATAACTACCTTCGTCGTAATAATTTAGTAATTGTTGGATTACATGATATGACATGCATTTCATTGAATTTTTTTTTTTTTGGTAGAATTGAGATTCTTTCTTGCAATCTTATTTTGTTCTGGAAACAACACAAGAATTGACGCAAGCGGTGAGACAATATGATGACAAAAATAGGCAATATGTAGCATTTTTCAATATTTGTATGCACAAAGCAAGAGGTTTGTTTAGAAGACATAATTGCTGGGAGGGGAGGGGGGAAGAGAGATTTTCTTCATTCAACAGCAACCTTATGGAAATTCTTGCATGTTGTATGGTCTATAATTCACTCCCTTTGCAAAAATTAATTAAAAAGGAAAAAAAAAAAACTATCATGGTACTATAAAACTTAAAACATGGCTTGTAAAAAATAAATAATAAATAAATAAAAATAAGTTCCCACCACTAAACAATGCCATTGTTAGTGTTTCACAGACATTTCTCCTTGATTTGTATCATTCTATGTACAAGTTTACCCAACGAAGTCATGAAAAGAACCTCATATAGAAAATTGTTGTACATTTAGTAAAAATAAAATGATTTATACACATAAATTTTATATATATATATATATATATAATCATCAGAACAATGTGAAATTATATTGTTGGGTTAATAAGAAATAAAAAGTGTTCATTTCATTTAATTATAATTTTTATTCAATAAGGACAGCTTATAATAAACCCAAAATAATAAGGGAAAATTGGTTTAGGGTCCCTCTCCCACTTTTCGTAATAGAAGAGATTCACAAAATTATTTTTTGATGTCTAAGGTCCCTACAAAGAAATTTGATATCCCTCATCCTTCAAACCTCCATCAACCAATTCGATGATTTGTCTCTTCATTCTACCTATCAAAAACACTATGTACTTTTTAGAGAGAGAATCTAGAGCGAGAGGAAAGAATCGAAAGAGAGGTAAGAACGAAGCAGACGATGAGAAACGCGAACTCGTCTTCAAAGAAGACGGCCAAGAGTATGCTTAGGTTCAGCGAATGCTCGGAAACGGTCGTTGCGAAGCCACGTGCATCGACGGAACCAAGCGACTCTGTCACATCCGCGGCAAGATGCACAAGAAGGTCTGGATCGCCGCCGGAGACATCATACTCGTCGGACTTCGAGATTATCAGGACGATAAGGCTGATGTTATTCTCAAGTATATGCCTGATGAAGCTAGGTTGTTGAAAGCTTATGGTGAGTTGCCGGAGAATACTCGGCTCAATGAGGGGATTGCTGGTGGTCTTGATGAGGAGGATGATGGTGCTGGTGATGATTATATTGAGTTTGAGGGTGCCATAGAGTTACTACCTAAAGAAAAATACCTACATTCATGCACATAATTGAAACTTCAAGATCAAATTTACAGTCTCTAGGTAAAAGAAAACTGAATTTTCTCTGGACTGAAACCAGAGAAATTCTCTGATTTTTTTACTGAAGCAAAACCTAAAATTCCTTCTCAAAGACTAATTTCATTTTTGCTGCAATAAGTATTATTGTTTAATTTGCTTCTGTTGGAACTGTGTGTGAGGGTTCGAGTGAATTTCTCTAGTTGGAGGGAATTTTCTCTGGAAATGAGTAAATTTCTCTGGAGTGGAGGGGCAAATTTATCTGGGTTGAATCCAGAGAAATTCTCTGGTGAGATTTTCTCTGTGATGTAGAATCAAAGCATTCACATTCTGATTCAGAACATTCTCATTCTGATTCACTGAATTGAATTTCACTGATTCAATTGAAAATTCAAGAGAGAAAGAGTACTAATCAATACCAAACAAAATCATGGGCATTTTGCATGCTAAAAGTAGCAGCAGAATATCCCACATTCACAGATAAGCATATAAGCTATATCCACATTC